AACCAGGTCCCAACTGAAACCAGGTCCCAAATAAAACCAGGTCCCAAATAAAATCAGGTCCCAACTAAAACCAGTTCCTATCTAAAACCAGTTCTTATCTGTTAACTGTTTTTTTTTTTTTTTTTAATGTCCAGAGGACCAGATTGAACTTTTTTGGATTTTTCTTCCTGGATTGTTGAGCAGCATCAGGACAGTTCTTATCTGGTTTAATACTGGACAAATTAAGACATAAAGAACTGGTAGTTTTTCATCAACACAAGAGAACTGCATTCCTTTAAACAACTCTTCCTGGAAATGTTTACAATAATCAACCAAACAATCAACCAAAGGTAAACAAACAAACAAACAAGCATCCAAGAAGCTAAACAATGCAGCACAACGGTCTATAAATTATAAATGGTAAAATAACTGCCATACATTATATAATTTTTTTTTTTTTTTAAGATTCCCAGACTCCGCCCACTTCTGTCATGAACTTTCTGCCATCTGGTTTTAAAAATCTACTCTAATCTTCTACAACCCGAATTCCAAAAACGTTGGGACACTAAACAAACTGTGAATAAAAACTGAATGCAATGATGTGGAGATGGCAAATGTTAATATTTTATTCGTAATATAACAAAGATGACAGATCAAAAGTTTAATCTGAGTAAATGTAACATTTTAAAGGAAAAATATGTTGATTCAAAATTTCACAGTGTCAACAAATCCAAAAAAAGTTGGGACAAGTAGCAATAAGTGGCTGGAAAAAGGAAATTGAGCCTATAACGCACAGCTGGAAGACCAATTAACACTAATTAGGTCAATTGACAACATGATTGGGTATAAAAAGAGCTTCTCAGAGTGTCAGTGTCTCTCAGAAGCCAAGATGGTAAGAGGATCACCAATTCCACCATTGTTGCGCAGAAAGATAGTGCAGCAATACCAGAATGGTGTTACCCAGCGTAAAATAGCAAAGACTTTTAAGTTATCATCATCAACCGTGCATAACATCATCATAAGATTCAGAGAATCTGGAACAATCGTTGTGCGTAAGGGTCAAGGCCGTAAAACTCTACTGGATGCTCGTGATCTCGGGGCCCTTAAACGTCACTGCACCTCAAACAGGAATGCCACTGTCAAGGAAATACCAGAATGGGCTCAGGAATACTTCCAGAAAGCATCGTCAGTGAACACAATCCACCGTGCCATCCGCCGTTGCCAGCTGAAACTCTACAGTGCAAAGAGGAAGCCATTTCTAAGCAAGCTCCACAAGCTCAGACGTTTGAACTGGGCCAGGGGTCATTTAAAATGGAGTGTGGCAAAATGGAAGACTGTTCTGTGGTCAGATGAGTCACGATTTGAAGTTCTTTATGGAACACTGGGACACCATGTCATCTGGACCAGAGAGGACAAGGATAGCCCAAGTTGTTATCAACGCTCTGTTCAGAAGCCTGCATCACTGATGGTATGGGGTTGCATGAGCGCTTGTGGCATGGGCAGCTTGCATGTCTGGAAAGGCACCATTAATGCAGAGAACTATGTTCAGGTTCTAGAACAACATATGCTCCCATCTAGACGTCATCTCTTTCAGGGAAGACCCTGCATTTTTCAACACGATAATGCCAGACCACATTCTGCAGCAATCACAACATCATGGCTACGTAGGAGAAGGATCCGGGTACTGAAATGGCCAGCCTGCAGTCCAGATCTTTCACCTATAGAGAACATTTGGTGCATCATAAAGAGGAAGGTGCGACAAAGAAGGCCCAAGACGATTGAACAGTTAGAGGCCTGTATTAGACATGAATGGGAGAGCATTCCTATTTCTAAACTGGAGAAACTGGTCTCCTCTGTCCCCAGACGTCTGTTGAGTGTTGTAAGAAGAAGGGGGGATGCCACACAGTGGTAAAAATGGACTTGTCCCAACTTTTTGGGGATTTGTTGACGCCATGAAATTTGGAAACAACAGATTTTTCCCTTAAAATGAAACATTCTCTCAGTTTAAACTGTTGATCTGTGATTTGTGTTCTATTCTGAATAAAATATTAGATGTTGGCACCTCCACATCATTGCATTCAGTTTTTATTCACTATTTGTTTAGTGTCCCAACTTTTTTGGAATCCAGTTTGTAAATTGAATCGGTAACGTCTCTTGTTCAAGAAGAGGCTAAAGTTTGTTTATTTGGTGTATTTTAGTTCCAAAGACATCAAAGAGTGCTGCATCTTAAAGTTTAAACATTAAATTACTGGAAGTTGTTTTTGTTTGCGTTTAGACTAAAATACTCCAAACCTTTCACTGCTCTCATCCTTCTTGGTTTAATTATTCGTGTTTGTGCACGTGTCTTTGGTCCTTTCTGCTTGTTGTCCCTGTGGAACCAGCAGCTCTGAGCCTCTGTTCCAAACGAGACCCTGTCAGTAAAATATCAGGCTTCGATGGTTGAACTGGGCGCAGTTTGTGTCAACAGAACTGAAACCTGCTCTAAATGTTCCACCGAATCAACGATTAAACAGCTGAGCGTCGGAGCAGTGATGGGTATTGATTCTCATTTTTACAGGTCATTTCCTCCAAAGATGATTAATGCGTCTGTTTCTCAATAGTCCCACGCTCCACCGTCTCGAGATTGAACCTCCGGGCCGGTGTCGCCTCAAAGTACCAAGTTTGAAGTCACCGGAGGACGGACTCTGAGGTCTGCTTCATGAATCCTCGGTTGTTCAGAGGAGAAAGAGTTGAACGTGCGTGTGAACACGTCCTAAACTTGGACAGCCTCAGAGGACAAGACGCTCCAACTGGACACGATGTTGACGACACGTCTCCGTCCTCAGCTTCTGTTCTGTGAGCCCGTCGGCTCCACGCTGCTCCATCGCTCCGTCTCTGTCACAACTGAAAATATACTGTTTGACACGACTGGGTATCCAACCAAACATCCAACCAATGATCTATCCATCCAACCATTCATCAAACCAACAATACATCCATCCATCAAACCATCCATCCATCCAATGATCTATCCAATCATCCATCATCCAATGATTCATCCAACCAACCAATCATCCATTAAACCATTCAACATCCATCCATCCATTCATTCAACCATC